CCCCTCCCTCCCAGATATATATGAAAATGACCATTTCTGGGAATCTGACATCATCGTTTCACATTACACAATCATCCCTCTGTGAAATCCTATGTAGAACATTACATATACAACATGTTTATATGGTATACAAATGAAAGATGCACTTCCATGCACTGACAACGGTTAATACTGATACGGAAATTTAAACAGGTCTCCAAAAGCGATCCTGATCTGTCTATACAATATACAATATAATTCCATATTTGAAAAATAGACATTTCCCTCTGAAATAATACATTTAAAAAATACATTATCACATATATCATGCAAAGTGAATTTCATTTAAAAAAAGTTTGCTGCCATTGTCGTCACGATGTAAAAAAAATAAAAGATTGAAAGAAATACGGAGCTTTGTGGGTCAAAAGCAGTCTTTTCTGGCGGTCGCTATTGACAGTACCAAGTATTATATTCCGAGGATCATTTTCTGCCTTGACAAATGAGCTGTTCAATATCATGGCATGTTCCAAACATGAATCCTCTAAAGGCACATTGAAGTCAGGAATGAGGTCATATAAGAAGCATGTGGTGGGGATGGTAGAGGAAGGTGCAATGGACAGGGATGGAGTGACAGAATGTCTGAATAAGTGCACAATTCCACAAATGCTTTGGAGTCGAAATTCTTTAAAAAGTGCTGAATGTGGAAAAGAGAGAAGCTTATAAGGCACGTGTGTGTCAGATTAGAAACAGACCACCACAGGCATGCTTAGTCACCTGATTTAAGAAATTAAGCTTGCCCTTTGAGTTCTTTTTGGTATGGGAAGAGTTCAGGAATTTTGAAAACAGCATCAGGATTATGGCAAGTATTCGACGGCACGAGTCACATGATAACCAGATGACTGCTGTCCTCATCAAGTGGGCCTTATTCCAAGATGAATCATATGATAGAACAATCCATGGAGGTCCTTGATGAGAAAGGTTTCACGCTGAGACACACATTTCCTAATGGCAATCTTCAGGTCGATACACTTGCACAATGCTGCAATCGTTATGCTTTCACTGTTACTCTGTCAGTACACAATCATACAATAGACTTATATTCCTGGTACTGATGTGGGTCTCAGCCATTTCCACCAACCAATCTATCATCACATAATATGGCTGGGGAGAGCCCCTTATTCCTAGCATGTGTTGGCATCTGGGTCATTCTGGTACATGACAAGTATGGCGCATGCCATCTGTTCTTAAAACACAAACTACACAGTAGTTTCACTCTTCCAGAGCCCCGTTTTCATGGCTGTAGGGCTCTCTGTAGTGGCCAGATTGATGTCATACTTGCTACCCTTTAGGACACCATTTTGGTTGCCTGTATTAAGTGGATAGGACCTTCGTTTAGTCTCCCTTTCCATGCTGTTGGCTTGTTTAAGATTGTCTCGGCTGGTGCTTTTCCGCTGTGCTCTGGCAAAGTCCTGGGCCTGGTGCCCACTGCTGTCACTCCCTTCAGAATGGGTGAGTGCCCCCTCTGGGTCCCTGGCTGCTACCTCTGTCCTGCCATTGTTTAATGGGCTATTCTTACTATGATAGCTTTCAGAGTGACTGTTGTGGATGCTGCCGCTCTCACTGGAAGGCAAGTCCGAAGCTGGTCCACGGAGCACCTTTAACCTGTGGTGCTTCCCTTCCCGGTATTGCTTAGTTCTGCTTTTATGGTTTCTGCGACTGTGCAGGTTGTTTGTATAGCGGCTCTGGGCAGTCACAGACTTGTTGTTAGTAGGCTCGCTTTCTTCACAGCTGGCTGGCTTGGGTGGGCAACTTTCTGCTTGGTTTTGAGCCACCTGCAAGTTAGTGATTTTGCAAGGTCCTGTATTAGAGTTACTGCTATTGCTCGGTGATGATGATGATTTAACAGAGTGTGTCCCATCGGGGTTACACCCAATAAAAATGGGAGGCGTGTCATCTACAGGAGAACTGGTTTGCACATAGGCTTGAATCGGCATAGTTTCTGTGTACAATGGGCAGCAAGAGCGCTGAACATCCTGACGTCGTACGCAATGGTGAATGAAAATAAAGAGCCCCAGGGCAACGGCTGTCATTCCATAGAGGCAACTGAAAATGATATTCAGATACCATACTTGTGAAACAGCAAAGGCTCCGAAAATCCAGAGGGTAATATACAACACATGGACAATGACCAAAGACCAGAACTGCACCTCCAGGGAATAGATGGTGTCCACATCTGGTGGGGCTGCTGAGTTAATGGTGACGGAGATGGAGGTTGAATCACTTAGGAGGTGGCTTATTCCACTCTGTGACTGCTGAGCATCATTGGTCTCTCCGACATCCTTCTGCTCAACAGGCTGACGCTTCAAATTTATCCCGACGCAGAGAAAGTAGATCCAGGTGATCAGAAGGATAATAGCCGCTGGAACATAAAATGCAGCAAGACTCGGCCTCCATACCAAGCAGCAGCTGAGAGAGAAAAAGATACATTAGAATATGTAAAGCACACACTTTACAAATCTGCTTTTCAAGTGACAGAAAACTTACTAAGGGCTGTTGTCCCTGTAGTTGTTGATGTTCACAGCAGCAGTGATCCCACAAATGATAAGTGGAATTCCTCCAGCAATCAGGTAAAAGCTGTGAAGAACACATAGAAACACTATGAAGATGCAGAAAGAGACGGGATGTAAATGTATTCTATGACATCTGGGAAGGCCAAGATCTACACATTGCTAAAAGGTGCAGCTAAAGTCTTCCTACTGAGACAATTTATTATGCAATGATATGGAAGCCGCCTTCTTTACCTTGGGTAACTATTATTGTAAAGGCTTTGAAGTGTCTAGAGTGACCAATAAAGAAACAGGTCTCTTTATAGCTTTGTACAAAATGGTCACAAAGCCACAACATTCCACATGTCTAAAGATTCTGTATCTCAGCAAACAACTTCTGAGCATGACTCTGTCACCCTGCCTAACTTGTGAATGAGCTTTCTGCACAGATACAGTGAGCATCTCCAGCATCTTAGCAGTATCCAGAACGTCTTCTGATGTTCTGCTGTGCCTGGACCCACCGCAGGCACCCACACCTCTCCTCATACTGCTACCCCCGTCTCCAACTCCACGGTGTATTGGACAGGAGGTGCGTGGGAAGCCCTCTTATCAACTCCACCACCGGTTACGTGATACAACTGTAAAAAGTTGAATTCCCTATTACTTTCTGTACTGGTGACAATGTTCACCAGAGCAAATAGAGAGGATGAATCTCCCCGATAGGGATACAGACAATAATACAAACCCGGTTGTGGTTCTAAGCTTTCCCTACTCTACCCAGAATTATTAAGATACGTTTTGACTACACATACGTTAAGTATCACAACACAAAATGCTTTAGCACAAGGATAAGCTTCTTTATTTTCAGCCATGTGACTGTAGTTCTCAAATCTTATTGGTCTCTTTTGGGCTAAAATAACTGTCAACAAATCGAGAATCCTTTTACTGCTGTGTTGGCTTTGTGAATTTAGGTTCAACTTTTTTGTTTTTTTCACATTGTTTTACAAATGTCCTTTAGTTTTAGCATTCCACATCCTATCCATCCTGGATCATAAAAAGACATTCAGGAGAAAGAGCAGCACCACCAGGGAAAGTCTCAGATCATCCAGAAATAGAGACACAAAAAACAACTCTCATAACAACATTGATCTAAAGTAAGGAGATAAACCAATAGCACGCCATGATTGCTGGTTACCTGAGCATAGGTCTATTGGGAGTCTGGACAACCTCCCCTTCCTGCTGTGGCTGTGGCTTATGGGTCAGCTCCTTGTAGATGACTCTGGCTTTTAGAACCATCCACAGAAGGGTGGACAGCGAAGAGTAATGAAGGATGACACTGACCTGAGAGCAAGCACAAGAGTCTGGTCATAATCAGAACTTTACACAGTACATAAGTCAGAGCATAATTTAATTGCACAAAGGTCCTCTGGCACCTGGGGTCAATGTCTACAATCTAAATGAACACATACGGGTTTGTTAATAAACAATTTGTAGAGCCATTCGCCCTGTAAGAGTTTGTTCTGTGTGAATGGAAGCAAAAACAAATGTTCTTAGCATATTTTCTTTTAAGGTTGAATGTATTATTCAGAAAATAGCGCATTATGTAGCATTGGTGCATTGTGATGTGCTGAAGGTCTTATGAGTTTGTTTACAGTGTGAATGGAAAAGTAGGGAATAGATACTGTACACATGTACAAGTGCAGGCAGCCTTAGTGTTTGTGTCTGGGCTGTTGTTGAATGGAGAGGGAAGGGGGTGGCGGGGAGGCAAAAATTGTTCTTGCCCAGGGGCCCTGTGTCCACTGGATGGATGGGTTCTTTACAAAACATTGAACATCACCCTATATTTATGTTTAGAAATGCGTTCCAACCGTGAAAAAAGCCTTACAGTAATCGTAATAAGAACACTTACAGCTTGGCACACAATCAAGTATCCACTGAGCGTGATTCCTCCAGCAAACACAGCTGATGTCATGGCAATGTGGAAACATAGATTAAGCAGCATATGCCAGCCCTTCCGTGAGATCTGGATGGAACTAAGAGGAAACAAAAACCCCATAAGCATGAACTTGTATAACACATGACATAAATACGCCATACATACGTTTTACTACAACTATTATTAGTATCATTATTATTATGAATCGCCTTGCATTCTTATAAGTAACAAAACAAGCAGTTACAAGAAAAATATACATACCCCTGTAATAATTCCCTCTGACAATCATCTGTTATATGTTCTATTATCATTATGTATAATAAAGTAACATACAGATAATACACAGAGGAACGCTCACAAAAAGGGGCCTGCGGTTCAACAGGTACAAATCTGGTTTAACCACTCGCTGACCGGGGTGTTTACACCCCCTTCCTGTCAGGCCATTTTTCTGTGTTCAGCGCTGCGGTACTTTGGCCGACGTTTATTCCGTAATGCAACGCTGTACTGAAATAATTTTTATATAATTTTATGGGGACACAGAGCTTTTTTTGGTGGTATATAATCACCACTGGGGTTTTTATTTTTTACTATATAACAAAAAAGTACCGAATATTTTTTTTTAAAATGGTTTTCCCTGTTATTTTAGGAAACATTTATTTTTACCCAATTCGCGCGTGCCCGGGAAATCGCAAAAATACACCATAGCCAAAATTGGTCGTAGGTGACGCTTTAAAAGATTTTTACCGCTCATCAGTTTAGTGTTATCAGTGATTGATGGCCCTAAAATTATTGTTCTCATTCCGACGTTTGCGGCGATATGTAACACGTGCAGCATAATTGGAGCAATCGTCGCTTTAGCGTCTAGGCGCATCTAACGCATTTTTGCGCATCTATGTGGGGGTGGGGGACTTTAAAAAATGTTGTGGGGTTTTTTTTGTTTTGTGTGTGTAAATTGTTATTTATTTTGTGAGAATTTTTTTTTAAAACTTTTTTTACACTTAACTTTATTGTTATCACATAGGGTGCTAATAAGTACCCTATGTAATAACAAATTACAGTTACAGGTCCCCTTTATGGAGACATCAGGGGTCTATAAGACCCCTAATGTCACCTAGGGACCCCCAGAAAAGTTGATGAAGCACAGATCTGCTTCGTCAGCTTCTCTACGGTTTCTGTACCGGAGAGTGACAGAGGAATGCGGAAGTGATGTAGTGTACATCACTTCCTGCATTCAGAGACCGGGAGGAGAGCGGAGGGAGATCGCGTACTGATCTCCCTCCGTTCTCAGTGCACAGAGCCACATCGCCCGGGATGGATGGACACCCGGGATCGTGGCGGTGGCAGGGACAGCGACCAGAGGTAAGGGGGGGGGCGCAACCGCTGCAACCCTGGTAGTTCTCATGAAAATGCAAAGTATCTGCACTGGTATCTGAACTGGTATCGGTGCATCCCTATTCTTAACCGTTGCAGTGGGGCTACCCCCGCACTGCAAGGGTTAAGTGCTCGTTTTCATCTAGGGTGTAAAATAGCAAAGTTATACTCACCTGAACCTCGCAGCCGGATGTGATGACTTAAGGATCCTTAGACTGCTGGATTGGGGGGGGGAGAGAGGCTAAAAGGACTGCTCTAAGAGCCAGCCAGCTCTAGAATTCAGATGAGTATAACTTTTTTTTTTTTACACCCTAGACGAATATTAACACTTAACCCTTGTAGTAAGGGGGCAGCCCCACTGCAAGAGTTAAGAATAATTTTCCCAGAGTTCTTCAAATGTAACTTAGACTTATTTATAATAGGATCAGCAATATCTTTCTTTATATTTGCAACCTGCGTGTCAGTACGTTTATCGACCCCAAACTGCAGATAATTCCAGTTTGATGTACCATGGGAATATGTTTTTTAATTTCTGTGTCCAATCACCTGAAGGTAGCTGCATAACACTATGGTAAATAAAGTGTATGATCAAGAGAATCTGCCCCCTACAATAAATGTGCACCAATCCCAGGTAGGTCCATGTCGTCTCCTGTATTCTAGTATTTCATGTAATGTGACCAATTTTTTTTTTTTTTAAACAACCACAGTGGGTGCCTCACTATGAAACTCTAGGGGAGCACACCTAGGTAAACCCCTTATATGCTTTTTCTACAATGGTGGCTCAACCATTGCTCAATTGCAATATAATAATACATTTAAATCTTTGTCTACCATATCATATAATCAGTCTGAGGGCTTGTTCACACCAAATGTAGACCAGATCTGCATGAGTTTCTGCACACGCAGTGCAGTGGGTTTTGCCACGTTTTTGATTCGTTCCGGGCTATTTCTGTAGCCTAAAATGGACTTTCAGTGCGTTCCAGGGCGTTTGCATGCGTTTGTGATGCATTTGCATGCGTTCTAGAGCGTTCCAGAGCAGGAAAAATAGGGCTTGCTGCAGTTTTTTTTACATGCTCTGGAACTGAACGCTGATTGTAAACTAGAGCCCAAAATACCATTGGAATACATTGGACACAGTTTTGATCCGTTCTGTAACTGCTCTGCTCCTGGAAGACGCTTGATGTGAACTAGCCCTGAATGTACAAACGGTACCACCATTAAAATTCATCTTTAGCTACAAATAATAATAGCCTTATACACAAAACCATGCAACATGTCCCCCCCTTGAGCCTCCACATGTACACATATACTTTGTATCAATGAAACCCTTATAATCACATACAGTACAGTAAGTCTTTCCATGTTATGGTATAATTGGTTCAATATGTCCAGCTTGCTAGTAAGTATGAGGTTAGCTATGGGCACTGCCATAATCCTCTTTTGATAGGCATTGGTGGTGTATGAATCACCTGATTCTCGATCATCCACATAATATATCAATCAAGAAACCACTAGCTTCGTCATTGTGGTGTGTCAGAAGTGGAGGGCAGCAATCAATGGCTGTGTTGAGCTCAATTATACTGTCTGTCAAATTGTTCCAATCATGTATCAATATAAATTTTATTATAATGCTGCCATGTCTACCATGTGAGTCCACCCTGTTCCTACCTGTGGTTCACAATGTAGGTGATGATGGTTGTGAAAAGACAAATCAAAAGTACGGCTGTGCAGGTGTAGATGACGGGATGGAGAAGCTCTGTTCCATTCTGAGTGGATTGTGGGAAAGTGTTCAACTCCTGTCAAGAAGAAATGCAAAAAAATAAAGACAAGCCATCCACCATCAGTAGTAATATTAACTTTGGATATCTAAACAAGAATGGAGATGGGTTGGCTTCTCTCACCGTCAGGATGGCAAAGTTGCTGAGTTGTAGACACTGCATGCTGGTTATGTTTGTCTCCTCTGCCAGGAGTTGGCAGCCCTCAGAGCTCCATCCTCCGTACCCTTCCAAGGCTCTGAAGTTCCAGTGGGCAGGGAGAGGGTCAGACCCGTTCACCAGGTGTCGGAGAGTAACAGTGACAGCATCGGTGAGGTTACTCATTTCACAACCACCTTGAAGATTACATTTAAAACATAAATCAGTGTCTTGTCTACATATGATTTTTAGATGTAGTCAGGAGGACTGGTTGAGAGAAGCCCGAGCAAAGAAAACAAAAGCAAGTGAAGCTGTTGCCACTGCCAATCAATAATCTAAATGAGGTGATCTTAGCCAGGGGTATCCATAACTGTTTGGATATGGGAATCGAATGGTGGGGGGTATGGACTGGAAGTCTAAATAATTAAAACAAAAGTAATACAACATTCTCTGTATTATTTAGCTGAAAATAAAGTGAAGACATTGACTTGGTGCATCATATGACAAATCGGTAACGTTGTCAGGAGCCGGACCTCCATTCCACGTTTTGGTTGCTCAAGAACAACAGCAACAATCTCACCAGATTTATCTAGTCCGTATATTTGTGATTTGCCGTTTTAAATATAAAATGTGATGAAATCTTTATGATTTTTCTTTCAGCTGATTTGTTCATCCATATATAAGGTAAAACAAAGCTAATGACACATTTTGAAGTCATACGGTTACCAGATAGGACTGGTAACATGAATGATGATTGATAACAATAATATTTCCCACAGTCTGGTGAAGAAGGTATGCGGACATGTTGGACAATCTATTGGGGGTCTGTAATTATGAAAAGGTTTAAAAGAGGAAACCTTGTTATGAACAACAGCTCCCCTTTGGCTCCAGTTTTCATAAACCAGACCCTTTATATAATGAATTCTTATTATTTACTTACCTGTACCCACAAAGATGACAGGAGTGGAAATGCTTCTCCTTTTCCCATCTTCTGCCAGCCGAGAAGAGTTCCCTACACTCCTAAACAGCTTCCCATTCCTGAAGGCCAGGACCTGCAGCTTGCAGGCTGGAGATGAGGATGATGCAAAGAGGCTTAGAGGAAGCTGGACTGAGGCCAGGGCCAGGCTGTTCTGCAAGGAACAGACAAATTGGTTCAATTAATGGCATTGGCTAGGCAAAGAGCAGGCAACAATTCCCATGTTTTGGAAACAAAGCCATTTTCACATATGGAGAATAAGTGCGTGATCTGCTTTCTGCAGTCGCCATGAATACAAGGAAGCAACATTTAAATATCTGGTAGTTTGAAAAAGCTAGGTCCAGACAGAAGCAAAAAGGTAACTTCAATAACATTACATGACGAAATGTCTTGTGTAGCAATTACATGTTTAATTCAAAGAAGAACTCCAGTTATTTAAAAAGTTAACCCTTGCAGTGGGGCTACCCCCTTACACACACACACACACACACACACACACACACACACACACACACTGCAAGGGTTAACTGCTTGCTTTTCTCCAGGGGGCCAAAACACAGATCCACAGTCAGCATTTTCCCCTCTGGCTGTGGAATGTCCCTTGGCGTCCTCAGATCTAATGCAGTTGAATGTGTTAAATGTAATGATGTTAGCTGGGCTTAGACCACTAGAGCCTGGGGGAGAAGAGGCTGTGAGGTCCGGTCTAGCAGCCAGGCGACCGAGGATCAGGTGAATATATTGCTTTTATTTGAGCTCCTAGACCAAAATGAGCACCTAACCCTTGTAGTGTGGGGTAGCCCCACTTCAAGGGTTAACTTTTTAGATTCCTGGAGTTCTTCTTTAAACATAAAAAACAGTTTATTTTTAGGAATTCTCAGATCTGGGCATATCTCTCACAGTAAACTGGACCTGATGCAACATCCCTTGTTTCTGAGTGGAGTCATGCTGCCAGGATTTAATGCTGAGTTCCTTGCTGATTTGGGCAGCATAGTGATGTTATGTCAACAAGATTCAAGGTCCATTCAAAATATGTGTGTGTCATGCACAAAACGATTTGCTATTGCTCTGTTACTGCAAATAGAAGGTCATTCAAGGCCACACTGAAGGCCCCGTTCACACCAAGGCAGTCTGGTCACGCAGATTTTTCAGAGCTGAACAGCCTACATGAACAATCCCATACATTCCTATGGGGACCATTTATGCAAGCGTGCGGGTACGCGCGATACGAACCGCTTGCCGCCCAAAATGCTCCCTGAGCTACTTTTCTTGCTTTGATCAACGTGTTTTCCACCTAGATTTCAATGGTAACGTGCTGATCAGTGCGTTTTTGTGCGTTTTTAATTGCATTTCAGCGGTGAAACTCGATTAAAAACGCCCTTTCCAAAATCGTGTGGAAACTTGGCTGAAGGGCTTCTGCCCTGGTGTGAATGGGGCCTAATACCTGTCCTGGAGAATTCTGATGTTGAATATCTGGATAAGCTATCCAGATATTGGCATTACAGATCCAGGTGTCCTCTAACACTCCAGGTGTCCTCTAAAGTTATATTGACTTTACTATAAAGGCATGTCAATGCAAAGATCGGAACTGAAGCAAAGTGGAACTACAGATACATTTTTTATTTCTAGTTTTAAGATTTTCCCTCATTTTCTGTCTCAGAACATAACCGCAAGTGAGAGGAAGTTTACCAAAATCTAACTGCTTTGATATATAACAATACATAAATGCTGATAGCAGTGTCCACTGAGCTCACATTCTTCTATTAAGAATAAACTGTTGCTTTCCAGTTGTGATGCAGTTAAGATTTGCTGTTGTAGTTACATGCAGAAGAAGGTACCTTGATGTGAAAGTTTCCCAGGGAGACATTGGTTTGGCCAGTGGCACAACGGAGCTTCAGCCTCTGGTCAGTGTGTGTGTTGGTGTCTTGGTCTTTCCTTTCTCTGTCTTTCTTGTGGCCACCACGTCCCCCTTCTCTTCTCTGGTAGGCTGTGCAGCTTAGTCCATCAAAGCTACTGGGCTTGATAAGGAAGGCCTCCAACGCAATGTTCTTTGTACTCTACCAATAGGGAAAATTAACATAATTGCATAATTCTAATCAAAATATACAAATAAATGTTTGTTAGTCAAAACACTGATACAAGGGGTACGTTAAAGAAATGATGAGAGTATTAAAGTGTATCTAAAGCCAAAACTGTTTTACCTGTAACAGCTTTTTTGACTCTGCCTGTCTTGTGATCCAGAGACCAGACACCCCACACTGTACAGCCAGCTACTTGACCTGTCTGCAGATTATACTGCAGTAAAGTGTATCTCTAGCCAAAACTTTTTCCTTTTTAGTTTTTGATAGAGAACCTCTGTCAGTAAGATGCACCATCTCTATTTGTCCTGGTGACCATTTTCGCCAGAAGCTAACTATAAGATATGTAAAGAACCATTTTTTTGCAAACTATGATGTCTATTGGCCTTATTCAATCATGTTAATTCATAAGTGGAACTAATCAGAATTCACTTTGTCAGTCAGACCAATAAGTGACGGATTCTGATTATCTGCTGAGTTACTGCACTTACAGTAAACCTCTGACAAACTTGGACAATGCAATCAGATCATACTATAAGCCATACAGAAGTTCATTTCAGTACATATTTTGTGTCAAAATCATCAGTAAATCCCACTGTTCAATAGAGAGTATAAGGAAAAGGAAAGATCAGCCAAGTACAACATTTATAGAGGACAAATCAACATTTGCAGGTAGAATATGCTGTCCTTATCTCGGGATCTGTAGATCATTTTCAGTTTTCACTTTCGCCAAACTCCCACTTATGCATTTTTTAATTTAATTTGCACAGTTTGAGTCATTCTGGTTTGTGAGAGATATATTTTAGGAATATTAGTGTTTGTGTGCTTTATTGATTGAGGCTGTATGTCTAGCAGAACCCCGCTTCCTGCATGTCTGTGAATTATGAGAAACATGACAAGCTTGCAGAGCTGCAGGCATATCCATCACACAGTATGCGGTATGGGTATCAATAATGTTCATAGTACACCTGGAACTCTTGGAGACTTTAGGGAGTTCCACCTGATGGAAGCGGTCTTTCTAAGAGTAAAACCTCTCTTCCAAAATACTGCAAATAAAGTATTTATCACACTGCAGGACAAATGTAAGAACTCAATGAAACAGAATTCTGGAATCTAAAACTAACCTTCACATCAACAAAAATGACCCATCTGGAAGTGCCAACCCCCCACCGCCTAGCCCTTTTATTTCTATGTCCCTTCTTTCCTTCTTCTTCTACTCTTCCTTTTCCTTTCTCAAGCAAAAGTCTTTCTTTTTCAGTAGCCCATTGATGCCAATCATCATTCATTTTCATTTGATTTTAGGAGGCTGAAATCTAATTGACTGCCATGGATTCCTGCACTTCGGCTTTTTTTGTTGTCTTCATAAATAAGTCTATATATTATCTTACACTTTAAACTATTAAGCAACATGTTATAAGGGATTATAATTTTTGTCTCCTTCTGTTTCTCTGTGTGTTATGTTGAGGTTGTATATAAACACAATCATAAATTATGAAAATGTGTTTTCATATTAATTATGTAAAATGCTGTTATTCCATTACACTTGTAATCAATTGATTAGCTTTGCTAAAATATGAAAAACTAAACACAGAAAATAATAGTAAGGTAAATAGCCCATACCACAGAGAGGTCCTGAGAGTTACCGCTGACTGTCAGGTTTGCAATCTTCTCCACTGTCTGGACAATGCTGCTGCAGGCTTTATCTTCCACCTGGGCCATCCACAAGATATGGTCATCCACCTGCATCATGTTACTGGCCATTTCCAGCATCACATCTGCCAGCTGAAAGAAGAACAATATACTTAAATTTCGATGAGCAATTATTATTATTATATAGGATTTATATAGCGCCAACAGTTTGTGTAACGCTTTACAATATAAGGAAGACATTACAATCACAATACAATTCAAGACAAGATGGTAAGGAGGGCCCTGCCTGTGAGGGCTTACAATCTAAAAGGGAGGGGGATGTGATACATGAGGAGGGAGCTGTGTGGGGATGAATTGTTTTAGAATGTGAAGGTTCAGTGGTTAGGTTGAGGTGGGATTGTGATATACTTCAATTTCAATGAACAATTACTTCAATATATCACAACCTTGGGCACCTGAGACAACCTTGGGCACCTGAGAGAACCACAGTAGAAAGCGGAGATACTTAAAAAAAAGAAAACATCCTGAAAATGCTATAGAAAGAATATTGCAAAATGATTTTTTGTTGTAGCATTCAGACACACCAAACAAAACAGTTCTTCTATAAATATTCTAAAAGGTTAATACAACCAAGACAGACTTATGGTTACAAATACATGGATATATATTGAATCATTACAGTATTGTTATAAAGAGTCAAATTTCACATAAACTTGTATGGCCAACGCTTTTCATAGAATTTATCCAATTCACTAGGACCAGCAGTTAAAGCGACACTAAACTCAGGATTTAAATCTTAAAACTGCATGGACTACAATCTCACATTTAGTTTACCAATTTGTATTGGGATTGTAGTCCATCACAGCAGCGAGCGTGGAGCGGCGGCTACTTTACAACACATACAGGGACCATGGGGAACAAAAGTAGCCCCCCTCCAGAAGGAAGGACAGTGTCAGCACCAATTCAGAGATGATTTGAGGATCTACAGCCGAGTGATACACAAATAAGATACATTTGTGTTATTAGTTAAGGCACTTGAATGCATTTTTAAGACTTAACTCCTGAGTTTATTGTCACTTTAAGGGGTTATAGGATCACAGTATACTACTGGATTTTGTTAGAAAGCACTGTAGGAGATCCTGAATAATGGTAAACTGATAAATCAGCTCCTATAAAAGTCACATTAACGGTTGGAACCCCAACAGGAAACAGGATGAGAGTCACTGTATACAATGAAAAGTCATAAATCCTGTAGCACTACTTACCAAAAATCCCCCCCAAAAATAAATGGGTGCTTGAAACAGCGGATGGCGCCACACACAAAACAGCTTAGAATGTAGATGTCACCAGCACATCAGAAGCTCATAAGTCAGAAGCTCATTTATTGATAGATGTCACTCAGAATAACAAGCGCTTTCGGAGCTGCACAGGGTCCCCTTCATCAGGCTCAGAGTAGACATATGTCTACTCTGAGCCTGATGAAGGGGACCCTGTGTGGCCCCGAAAGCGCTTGTTATTCTGACTGTATACAATGAGGCCCACTTTTATAAAAATATTGTATTTTGGTAACTGTAATATATAGTTACTACATGCAATAGTTGCAGTATCAGTATATCTATGGACATATTCAGTATTTTTTTCAATCACATGCTTTGTTTATATTTTTCTTTATGTTTACATGCAGGCTAAGCAGCAAAATGAACACTGACCGGGGTCAGTACAAACCATAACACTTTTAGGGGTGCCAAAAATGGTCACATGGCTTAGCACGTCATTTGTAAAAAGGAACTTTTGCTTTAACTGCACATGAAATGTTCTTGTTTCTTGCAGTTGGTCATTTAACCAATATATAGCTATGGATGGGTTATTCTTACATCTTTGACTTGATTAACCAAATCAACAAACTTCTCCATCATTTTAGCCACATAGATAACATCCATCATATCTGAGAAGCTGGTTGAATCTGTGGTGTACATTCGCAATTGCTGGGCCAGGGTCAGCACATTGGACGCATTAATGGGCATCTGAAAGACAAAGTTATTGCACATTATATTTAATATATAGATAAGCAATATATACATAATATCAGCGATATAAACTAGTGCTCAGCTAGATACAAGGAAGATCAAATGCAAATATTTAGAAAAACGATTCTCTAGCTGTTTGGTTGGCTTTACCTTGGAGACCCAATACCCAATACAGTTAGGTCATGTTGGGTGAAGCAACAGGTTGGCTTAAATGTGCTCGGTCCTAGAAGAAGCTTATCATTCCTTACTCCCTTGCTCCTACCCTTTACTTCCCGGTATGGAGGAGCATATGACTCACTTCCCTTCCTTCTTATTTGGCAGGGCTGGTGATTGGTCACATTTGGCCAAAGAGTCAGTCCAACATAAGCTTCAACCATAGCAATTCAGAGCTTACACACGCCTTCCTTTCCCCACTCTCAGAAACTGAATGGAGCAGCTGTGAGGTGCTGTATGTGCTGCTGGGGTGGGTGACAATAAAGTGTTACCTGTGCAAATTAACCTGTTACTTTGCCCAACATGACAACATAGCTAAATAATGTACGTGAGGTTTTTTAATTCAATTCAAGTCCATTCTTTGGGACAAGGTTTTGGAAGATCTACTCCCTTCTTCCAGTCCAAAACTTCACCTGTTGCACTCTGTATTGTATAGCAAATAATACATCCAACAGGAAGAGTGAGATCCCCTCATGATGGCTATGGCAGATGTATGTATATGTTAATTTAGAGGGATCTGACCAGAGACCACAAAGATGTCACCAACAGACAACACAAAATATTAAAGCAGCCAATAGATATTACAGCTAGCTGGCACCCACATGAAGTACAAGTTCAGTTTTGGGCAGACTACAGCTTTAATTAATCAAATACTCTTCATAGGGCAGTACAGAATAAAGCAGTCTATGATGCTTTGCAATGTGTTGATAATCAGCTCATGATTTACTCACCAGCACAAAGGTATATAGAATCCTTGTGAGATCATTGGTGTACAGGCAGTTAGAGTAATCTCCTTCCTCCCAGTGCCCTGATCGATCACAGCGACGGGAGGCTTTCTGTCCAATGCCATTATGAGTGATGGTGGTAAAAGGATACTGCAGGCAGGGCTGGTAGGCAGTAATTCCTGCCAGAGTGCGAGGCCACCTGCATGAAAAATATCACAATTATTTAATGATTGATCTTTGAACATACACGAAAAGCCTTAAAACAAGTCACATATTAAACTCTTCTGGCGACGTAGCGCCCACTCTCTACTGAATGTGACACATAGCATGTGGTGACTCCATTACCTCAGTATTCCTCTATCTACACCAGAGGGACTCTTGGGTTCTGCGGCAAGAGAGTCTCGAAGTGGGTACTGCCCTGGTATATGATGGATCACCGGGTCTACGCTCCCGGACGGGATATATGCAGACCTTTCCGCAGATGCTTACATGCATTCAACGCTACACCACCTGTCTTGAAAACGATGCATATGGACTCACACGCAAACTTTCCCTTGTTTTATTATTTTTATCCAAATGTTATATTTGGTACCATTGTATATTTGTCTGTTTTCTGTACTGTACTATGTACTGTAAACGTTTCTAATAAACATAGATTGAACTAGAAGACAAGTCACATAAAATATACTTTTACTAGGAAATTCTTTATTTGCAATGTTTTGATACCTTTAATAATTGCAACTTTTTTATACTGCTGTCGATCTGCATAGACACAGAGATTGTCTGCAACCTCTGTGCTTCCAACACTCATAGAGAGGATGGTAGATGAGACACGGTGACATTGCAAAGGGGGACATGAGCACAGAAAACCACAGAATGATTTGACACACCAGGAAGTGTCGATTTATGAATGACTGACAGTGTCAGTAGCTCACAATAGAGTCACCTTTTTGACAAAGTTACGGCATGGTGGGTCACTGACTTTTCTTTCTGTATTAAGCCCAATATTCAGACGTGGGGATGGGGTGTCAAAGTATCAAAAGCCTAATTGTTTATTCTTCCATTTTAAACAGAGTAGGGAATGGATAAAACCCTTGTAATTTTTGGTATCTGCGTACAATTCAAGCCTTTACCTTGGAGACCTGACATCCAATCATTTCTTTCCTGAAGGAAGTGAGAGGAAGTCTGTTCATAGTGAACCTGGCAATACACTAATTACAATGACTAATTACAATTACACTGATAATAATAATTTGATTCTAAATGATAGTAATCTTAGAACTCTGACAAATACTTAAAGCCTGCGATGGAAAACTTTGATCACAGGAATTAAACTTTGATCATGGGAATTGGCGGCTGGTCTTTGTGGGATGTTACTGATTGCAAACTGATCTTTTTTTTTTGGGCAGAATACAGGCAAATACACAGAGCACTGGAATGTCTGCAATAAATCAAAGTAAATATGTAATCTAGCCCAAGTATGCAGAGCTGTTAGGATAGTAATAGCCAGCAGGGGGCCCTGGGATAGCAGTAATAAGATAACAATGTCCAGATAAACCCACATCATAGTTTATGGAAAATAAAGGTCCAGTACAGCAAATAACAATAATATACTAAAATATAATGAATAAAAAAAACAATTTCTATATCAGTTGCTACAATCAAATCAGTTGCTACTGGAAACACATTGGCTCCAATATGAGTAAGTAAGATCTCAGTAAGATGTCATATACAGGTGAAACTCGAATAATTAGAATATCGTGCAAAGTTCATTTATTTCACTAATGCAACTTAAAATGTGAAACTAATATATGAGATAGACTCATTACATGCAAAGCAAGATAGTTCAAGCCGTGATTTGTCATAATTGTGATGATTATGGCTTACAGCTCATGAAAACCCCAAGAACCCCAAATCCACAACCTCAAAAAAGTAGATTGTTACATGCAATCAATAAAACAAGGATTGTACATAGAACAATATCGGACCTCTGAAAAGTACAAGCATGCATATGTACTCAGTACTTGGTTTGGGCCCCTTTTGCAGCACTTACTGCAATTACTTTTGCACGATATTCTAATTGTTCGAGTTTCACCTGTATACAGTAGCTGTAACAGGCAATTAGAGGTCATCGTCCACATCAGTTGGAAGAGGAACATTCAGAGGAACTGGCTAGCTGTGCCCTGCAACAAATCAGATCTTACACTGGCATTGTGCAGTGAACCCAACGATTCCTTGTTAATGATAGAGAATTCTGCTACTACAAATGATTTATGAACAGCTCAATACACATTATATGGATTGTATTTATCATATTGAAATCTATAATGGTGTAATTCTGGTCATATCTATGTACAGTCATGTATTCATTTATTTCCAGCATTGTGGCCGGCTTTCATTTTCCTGGTACCAGTTCCCATTTGCTTCTCGCACAGTCCCGACTTCCATTTCTCACATTCACATGCGGAGAAAAGCACTAACAACTGACGTGGTTTAATACTGGTTTGAAACACAGGCCTGGGGTCCACTGTGCAGCAGAAGTTTGGGTACTACTTAGATGTAGGTTTACTTAGGTCCAATTTGCTGATCAGCAGGACTCTATGCTGGAGAATTTTGCTTTATTTACATGCAGTGAATCTTCTCTCCCACATGTACCTTTTCCAGCAGTTTTATATTGACGAGCTGCATGTCATTTTCTTTACTTCTTTATGAGTTCTGCCAAACATTCCAACATTTCACAGAGTTGCACCCTGTATATTATGCTATCTAGTGACAAGGGAATTGGTATGGAAACCATGAGAAATATCAAACTACACTTTTTGTATGTCCTAAAATATGTATTTGACCCAACCTTAATGAAAACACACAATCTACATGCAAATATTCAAGAGAATCAAAAACTGCTTTATTTGTGACTCTCTTTTTCGGTCATCAATATTTCCATCACACTTTTTCATATATAAGGTTGCTATCATACCATGATAAGGAACAGTGGCGTCACAAGGGGGGTGCTGCCCGCACCCGGGTGATACTATTGGAGGGGTGACACCAAAATGATTGACACTCAGTCATGGGCCGATAGCCTGACAGTTGCAGGAGAGAGGAGGGGCCCTGGTGGCATACCTTATCCGGCCGGGTGAACGTCCCCTCCTCTCTCTGCCCACGTCCATCAACAAGACGGCCCCTGGCAGTTATCACCAAGATGATTGTGCATGGGCACACGTGTGGTGACGTCACGGCAGGGTGTCACCCGGTATCCGCTACGGGTGACACCCGGCCTCGGGACGCCCATGATAAGGAATAAATATGTCAGTACACTTCCTGGTTTTATTTCAAGAGCACACAAAGTTCCTGTGCTCATGGAGGCAATTAAAAAGGAGCTATACCCATATCTTTGAAATGACAACAAAGACACCTTTATGTTAATGTTTAGTAATGACAATCCACACACAGATACTTGTAGATAAATGCCGGCTTTTTATTCTTTGCATGCCTTATTTCTCTTTTCTTCCCCAGTTTTCTGACAGTGGCCATTTTTATTAAGGGCAGATTACTAGATCTCCCTTTACTTCCTGGAACTTTGGCACATGTGACTAAAACATGTGATTATGCACATCATCTCAGGGGAGGAAAATGCCTTTCCCTGAGATCTGTGTGAGATTACAGATGAGGTTTCCCAGCAATCCTCTGCTGACGTAATCTTCCCAGGATGCAACGCTTGGGCACAGATTGCATCACTAATGCCTAATAGGACCAGGAAGTGGAAAAACAATAATTGTAAGTAAAAGCAAAATATGTTTTTATTAACTAATGAATGTAAGATGATTTCATGTCAGCATAGAGATGCATGCTGATGTGATTTTTGGTGCAAGGGGATAAAGATTCGCTTTAAGAGAATGTGGCTCATGTGGGTATATGACTGACATACGGTCCTGCTCTTCTCAAGCCATGTTTAGATCTTCCATCACAAAGATCTGAAAATTGTCCTTTCTCATTATTACAATGGCTGAGTTGAAGTGTGAAGCAGCGCTGACACGTTCTGGATCACCATATGGAGAGGAAGAGGTGGGGAGACAAAGACTAAGACCTTTCCATCAGCAGCCCACAAAGGATGCTTCAGAATGTCAGGACCAGGAATCCTGTCACTTGTCCAGCAGTGCTGAGAGAAGATAAAAAGGATTTGATGTAACATCTGTTAACCGCTTCTGCCTGGATCTCAGCTCTGCAAATCTCTAATTTCCCTTGGTACCTTACTCCTACATCCTACTATGATTCTGAAGGCACAAGTATAGAGTACAGAGGGAGGAGAGGGGGGTCAGATAATTGAAGCCACATTGGCTGTACCAATAATTTATATTCCATAAAGCAACTGACACCGCTTGCGCTGCACGGCATACAATTCTTTATTCTGCAGCCAAGTCAAATTCCAACACCTTGAATTTTACACTCCGTGCGTTCTGCCAGGACAGGCCATGTGAAGGGAACCGCCTCCGAAATGCTGTTTAATAGCTTGCAGATGGGCCTGGATCTGCCCAGTTTAACACCCTCAGTGCCAACATCATTTGCTGAGCAATACGGCATTGCTGTTAACTTACAGGTGTCACCTTTGCCCTGCTCCCTCTTAATCTCTCTTTATTGGTGGGGAAGAGGAGTGGTTGGCCATAAAAAAAGCCAATAAGCTTTCCATTCCTTATATACCTATCAGCTATACACTAAACATTTGTAAGTACGAATGAAAACATTTTGCACATTTGCTTGTGTCTTAATTTTTTTCTCTATAGTCCCACCCTATGACTTTTGCAGCTGTAAAATTGCATTGCTTGTCAAGGTGACCCCCACCCCACTCCAGTGCAGATGTCATAGGAATGGCTATCATCTCATTCTGTGCTACACACTGATACGGTTGGAGGGCATTTTGTTTACTTTAATCCCTTCTCCCCATAACCTGTATGATCATACTGTCCTGTTGTGTCCCAAGCCCTACTCCTTAGAAGCCATGGTTTCTATACACTGCACTGATGAGGGAAGACTGAAACAGCTGTATGCAGTTTGGAATAATTGGCTCTGTTATATTCGGCTATATATTTGCAATATACAACAGTGGTTCTGGTCTGGATGTGTATCTGGCCAATAGGGTGTAAAGCAATGATTTGCATGCCTCCGCCCAATGTTCTGAAACAAGGAATAATCCTCTTATTGTTTGCATATGTGAAAAAATTAGAAACATGAATACCTTCTCGTCTAAGGAGTCTGCACTATGCTACACACTGACTACAGTTAATGGGCTTTTGATTTATTTAGTCCCTTCTCACCATAACTTGTATAGTTATATTGTCATTGTAGCCCTAATGAAATTCTATGAAATGCACAGCAGAGCAGCTTAGATCACGGTGTAAAAGATCAGACTGAATGGAATGCATTGCTGTACTAGTTTTAATAATGCTGTAATCTGCATAATCTGCCTTTTATTTGCTGAATACCCGGTTGGCTATTTATGCTTTAATAAATAACGCATTAGAGATAAGCAGGTCCTGACAAGTTGGGCAAAGACACAGAATTTCATCAATGTGTGGACACCAAGAATCATTCATGGTTGGTTCCAGTAAGAGGGAGCTTTGTAGTTTACAACCACGCAGAATACAGTGTAAATAAATGCTGCATCACATGTCATACAATGACAGTCTACCTGGAAGTTAGTAATACATACAATCCCATGAAGGAGCTGAGGAGATGAAGGCGGCAGGAGCTGTGTTTGGTTCTTTCTGTAATAAGGGTTTTAGTGTATTTTGGAAGAGTGAAGATTAAAAGGTAAACTATAAAGTTTTTAATGTTTTTTAGATCTGCATGTGAAAGTAGTCAGCTTTAATTTATCAAAATATGTCAGTCAATGGTTTGAAGCCCAGCTCTGTGGCAAACATTTATTATTTATAAAGTGCCCCCTTATGCTGTAATGAAAAAAAACAGCTCTGGCTCCAGTGCTCACTTTTGGAGTTGGCACCCACCAGTACTTCTTCTGGCCACAAGATGTTCTCAGTCTTCCAGGCTGAATGACCCCCAGCATGTCTCCACACAGAAGACTGTAGATTCTACTGTGAATGCAGGGTGCCATGGTCCTGCTTCCTAAGGAGGCATCACCGTGGCACCCTTTATTCATAATGTACTGGTGCAAAAAGTGGTGCCAACGTCATCAAGGTAAAGATGCTATCTGCATTATAAAGACCGTTCAGCCAGGAAAAAAGGCAAAAATAAAGAGGTTCTTACGGCATCAGGTAACCAGCCTAAAGACTTAGGACATAGGACTTAAGACAAAGGTGAGCGTAAAAACATAACATATAGCCAGCAGGGATCACAAGTGGGGTTGATTAATGGAGTGGGGGCATAAAACCTAGAGTTAGGCTTTAAAATCCTTTTTTTCTATGCAAAATATTTATCTTTACATGAAGAAGAATTATATTTGATCATAAGCATGGTCTACCTCCTAGATGGCAGTGCAGCATAGTGGTTGTGTCTACTGTCTTTCAATGCAAGAATATTACTTATGTCTGACTAACTCCTCGGTAGTCATGGAAGCAACTAGAGGGAGACGTTACAAATCTGTACATGTAATATAATATTAGGAATATGGCACAGCAATCATGTAAAATGTAAATTAAAAAACAACATTAGCACTTGGTGCCTACTTTCCCTTCACCCTGGAACAGCATTCCAGGGTGTTCACTTCAAACATACAGATGTACATTAAAGCAAACCTAGCATGTTGATTTCAGATAAAACCTTAATTTATGTAAAAATGCAGCTGTACAAATATAGAATGAGCTATAATATACTGCCAAAAACTACTGCCAAAAACTTAATAAAAATACAGTCTCATTGAAAAGGCCACCATGTGTCAAAAGATGCCTGATTGTGGATTGCTGGCCAGTCTGAAACGTTCCACTGACTCATATTAGAGTCAGTCATTCTCCTATGCTGACAAAGACTGACTCTCATCTAAGTCATTAAAAAAAGCCTCTGAGACCATTTCTGTTGGACATTCCTTGGAATATGTTAACAGAAAAGTCATGGATAAAGGTAGAAACTGTCCTGTGGACAAATCTCAAGCCATGGGGACTCATTTGGTCTTCACCATTGGCACTCCTATGGAGATGATGTCCAATACACAGGGATTATATATGTGTTGTAAATTATTATTATTATTATTATTATTAGTAGTAGTAAATGGTTCATTCTTTCAGCATTTTCTTAAAGGGTTAGTTCACCTTTGCAATAAAATGCACTATGCAGTCAAAGGTGCCCTGCACTTTTAAAAACACTGTGTAGTTTTAAAATGTGTAGTTTAACTGTAATACCTGTAGGCCCATTGCCTATGAGCTAGTCTTACAAGACAAAAGTGCTCATTCCAGTGATGCTGGGGGCCCGCCGCATATACAGGGAGTGCCAGATCACAGGCACAATGGCGCTGATCGCTCCCAGTATCAGTTTTTCAGCCAAGCTGTGGGTAGACTGCAATGGGCCTACAGGTTTTATAATTAAATTAAACTACTTATAAAATTCATTTCAGTACAGCGCTGCATGACGGAATAAATGTCAGTCAAAGTACCGCAGCGCTGAATACTGAAAAATGGCCTGGATGGGAAGGGGGTTTAACACCGCGGATGTCAACTGGTTAAAGCTGTGAAGTGTTCTGAATCATACAGGGCACCTTTAAATGCATAGTTTATTTTACCACAAAGGTGAACTAATCCTTGAAGAAAGAATCTGGATCTTGATGTAAACATACAGATCAACACAAATCAGAACAGATTTACAGTGATTAGTTTAGCGTTAGAGTTCAGTGTGGACCAAACAGAACACATACCTGAAGTCACCTCTGTTGTTGGTCACCCTGTCGGATGGGCAGTAGGTTGCTGAGGTCTCCAGAACTACCAGCTCCACCTTCTTGCTGATGTTCCCATATTCAGTGGATACGCTGCATTCCCATTCTCCATTGGAAGACAGCAAGATGTTGGACAAGATTAAAGCACTGGTGGGGAGGAAAGAGAAGAACAGGTCAGTAAACTATGCTAGTGGAATAATACTATACCCCACAAAAGCTTTTGTCTATGAGTTTTAAAGCATCTGTCTTAAAAAAATTTTTGCATTTTCCATAGCTACCAATCATATCTAAACTCTCAGATTGTATCTATTTTACAGGTCAAGATTCAATTCTCCTCAGGGAGTCATGCCTGTAACTGTCAGTCTTGCAATGCCTCATGGGACTTGAAGCTCCACAGCAGCTGGAGGGCCGGAGTTGCCCACCCCCGCTCTTGACCATCAGACCTGAGTCATACTCTCATAGTCTCATAGAACATAGTCTCTCTCTCTTATAAGCCATCATAAAAGGAGCACACTTGTGAGTGAAATTCTTTTTATTCACGTTCAGTAAATGAAACATCCTTCATTATGCCGGTGTGGTCTTGTTTTTTGTTTGCGTTACCGTTTCTGCTACCAAAAGAGCTGCAAGGCGGACCTGTGTGGGGCTGTTTCCTAGTGTGGCTACTTAGTGATTACAACGTGCTACATTGTACGTATTATAGAGCAGGCTTAGTACAATATTTATCGTTTTATTTGTTTTTCTAACTTCTACCTGTGTAAGGCTCTGCATTAGTGAGTATTGTGTTTTTGGATAATCAGAGGGAGGTTGCATAGCACACATTCATGTGACAACGCGGCGGCAGTCTGGTCCAAATACCCAGCAAGATACATGTTAAAAGTGGAATTTCTGATTTTATAGTGGCTGCAATTCCCAATAACCTTAGAAGTTCACCGGCTGATTTTATGTTGCGTCTGGAGTGGTTCTTGAACTCTTTTGCCTATTTATATCACTAGCAGAGTACAACACTGGTACTGGTCACTCAGGAATCGCAGTCATATGCTATGCACATGCATAAACTCAAACTGCAAAGCTGAAAAGTGATGGGATTCTCTGAAGGGAATTAGGGGAGCAAAAATGTCACGGTGTAAGAGACACCAGAGTGAAAAGCCGACTTGAACAGTAAAAGTTAAGATGACATCCATTACGTCCATTTGTATCAGAGTGCCAAAGGTCAAAATTCCTTATCAGCCATGCAAGTGTACAAAATTAAGTTTATCATACACAAAAGACTGTTATTATTGTGAAATGTAATATTTCAGTGCTAGATTTCTACTTTTTCAAGCCTGCTCGCGTGAAAAACTACAATCTCAATACAAATTAGTACTCGCCGATATCGAATACCAATACTGGAAGTCCCATTAAGGAAGCCAGGCGGCGTGTAAAGACTCGCCACCCGGCTTCCCGATTAGCAGGTGACGAGAAAGCATGGAGCTGGCTTTCTGGCCAATCAGGAATACAAAATTAATTAAAAAATGAAGAAACCCTGCAATGTGAGTCATGAAAATGTGCACGCGTATACATCATCACTGAACCTCTACATTACCACAATAAATGGTAATCACTTACAAAGGTGGAAATTGACTTTAAAAACAAAATACAATAAAATTGACCAAAACAATTATTGTTTCTCTTTAAACCCTATTCCCATTCTTATGTCATGCAATACATTAGCTCCTGGTGAAGAGAGCAATGCCCTCCTCAAGCTAACCCTCCATATAACCCCAATCTTACACAAACTCTCCCTGACATAAACGTAACCTCTTTCTTAATGCCTACCTCTCTGTGCCGAAGACCAAACACCTCCTGCACCTAAAGATACTGATACTGGGATCCCAGTGCTGGAATTTAGTCTCGCGCACAATGACACGAATCCTTGCATGCACTAACTCATTCACAAAAGTACCCCAATTGCTGCTTTTTTTTATACATGCAAACATTAATTATCAGAGATACTATATGCAGATATAAATATTTTGATGGTGTGATATTGGTAATTGTCACTGTCATTAAAACAGAGGGCACTTGGAAGCAGAAGATGAACGCTCAGTACAGTAAGATAACAACACCTGCACGCATTCAATGAAACGTGCTTCTGGGCACCATGAAATGAAGGTAGATATAATAGGTGTGGTTACAGTCTAACAGTTTGTTTAAAAAGTATATAATTCTAAAAAAAGTCTGAAAATAAGACAAATCTGGGAAAGACAATTTCAGGAAAGGTTCTATTCTGGTCACAGTAAGAAGGAAGTTAACGCCAGAGGGAATGAAAACAAACTGAGTTATAGAGTATTGGGTGCAAGGAAGACCTTTCCTCAAAGCAGGAAGATCCATTAACACTAAGGGAAAATAACAGCAGCGACACTAAGATTGGAAATATTTACATCAAACATTCCAAGCAACATTCACAGCTAATATAAAGGTCATCTTGGGCAGCCGACATGTTTAACAACCTTAACGGTAAAGAGTAATGTGTAGCGTATAGTAACTCTCACTATCCATTCAGAAATCACCTATCCTTGGTCTGACTGTTGCTGTCTGCTAAAAATCTGAATAGTTGCAGTAAGTTAGTTTTGTCTCGAAGCAGCTTATTTAATAAAGGTAGTTGTATGTGAATCAACAATTTTGTGTGCAACCATCTTGGCATACAGATTCAGTAATTCTACAACACTGTATGTGATAAAGCTACCATCCTCTGGGCTGAGGCTAACTCTTTCTGTACAGAATGATGACCAACCACAACATACACCAGGGACAAGACATTTCTACCTCCTAGTAATAAGGATGCCAATTTACAAATCTGCCCTATCAAGTACTAAGTGGTCCAGACTTTATATCCACATTTCAGGTAAAGGTACTATGAGAATGTAGGGAAAGAACAGGAATGTAAAACCCTTGTTTCAGTCATTAGCCAAACTTTCCAGCTAACCTTACTTTTAAGGAACAGTGCCAATTCTGAACCAGACGCAGAAACACATCAAGACATGGGGCAGAGAGAAGCATAACTATGCATTTCTTCATTCTAAACCCCTGATGCCCAATCTGTGACCAAGGGCCATATACAACCCTTTGGAACTTGTTGTGCTGTTCTTGGATCCCAGCAGTATGTAGCTAAAGTGTGAGCAGTGAGTTAAGGAGTAATAGCAGGATCTCTACTAGCCCCATGTTACATGTCCACAGTCTCTTACTGTCTTCTTTGTCTTTGTCCAGTTTCCAACCAACCAGTAGCATGTCCACAGTCTCTGGCCATCATTTCTTCCAGTATATTTGCATGCTCATTAATTATACTGAACATTATGTGTGGCCCTTTGGTGATTTTAGGGGCCGTAGTTGAGGCCCCTTTTGCCTTGTAAGTTGACAACCACTGCTCTAGACAACGAGTTAATAATGACACCTCCTTCTAAAAATATATAAGGTCATTCTTTATTTTCCTTACTTATATTCAAATTTCTTCTATATTTATTGTGGAATACTTTATACGCCTGGGGCAATTACAGCATTTCTAAGGGGAAGTTGAGAATCATAAAATACTATACATACAGTAGAATGTTGAAAAAATAAACATGACTATAGTCTATCTAAGTATTATACATTAAAATGGCAGTTCATTCTAGGCAACTAGTAGCTTTTGTTAGACTTTGAGAACATTTACAAGTTAAATCCCAGTCATACAACAGTAATGAGGCAAAACACTGATTGCCAGTATGAAGTTGGTCTGAAGTTTGCAGAATAGTATTCAGTGCCTACCACATAGCTGGTATCAAGTGTGCCCCATCACACTCCTGACCGGAACAAAACCCTGAGGTCGTGTGGATGCTCTAGTGATGGCAGATGCCGACGCAAGTAACATGAAATCAATAAGTAGTCACTCGCAATCCAATTTCATACTAAGTCAATCCTTTTATTGACTGTAGTAGCGTCGCATTTCAGAGCGACGTTTTGGAACCAAGTGGTCCCTTTTTCAGGCAAACAAAAGAGTCAATAAAATGATTGACTTAGTATGAAATTGTAGTCCGGGTGACTACTTATTGATTTTATACCACATAGCTGGTACACCAGGCAATCGGGTAACGTATGATAACATATATCAGACATACGTTGCTACAGGGCTTAGCAGGCAGTAGCCTGCATATAAATTACACTCACAAGGGAGAGAGAGAATAAAATCCTTTTCTTAGTGTTACAGTAAAGGAGATGTTCAATGCCAACTTTTATAGAAGACAATTTAATAGAATTGAATATAGAATCTTTCTGGTCGTTAAAAAGTTTTGGCAGGAATCCCACAATTGTGCAAGGTATTGATCTATTTTTACAGTTCTAGAATGCATTGGGATCATTTAAAAGTTATTCCCTTTTTATCCTTTATTTGTGGTAATCAGATTAAAGTACAGTATGTATTTGCGGCACATAGTCTGTTCCAACAACCAATGTATTCATCTTGTAAAAAAAACAACCCAAAAAACAGAAAGGGCACCTCCCTGAAATGAGACGGGAACCTCCCTGAAATAAGGTTTTGCAGGTTGGGATGTCTGCCTTTAGCTCCAAAGTATGTTAACCACTTTGTTGGGAGATTGGAGACAGATTACATTTATTAAGTGAAATTACTAGGCTATTTTGGCCACATTTCAGGCCAGATATAAATAGATATAGTGCTGGTCGTAGAAAATGGCAGCTAGTTGGAATTCAATATGTATGTTCATGTATGTGTAATGATTATTATCCTAATTTATCATTCACATTACATATGTGGAGCTCACTACAACTTTGTATATATAAAGCTGGTAGTTTTGGATAAAGAGCTGATGACTGAAACACACTGTAAGGAAAAGGCCAGAAATACAACATTTTATGCTGAAAGTTGTCCATTTAGTGTGATCAGTGGAGTGGTATAAAGACGTGTTTTACAGATACAGAGGAATCAGTGGCGTAACAATCACCATAGTGACGCAGGGTCGCTATGGCATGTGGGGGTGCTGGCTGTCACAGACACAGCTCAGTAGCGACCACGGCGCATTTCTCCTCATAGCCGCTGCGGAGCTGTGTCAGTGACAGCCAGCCGCTGCGGCAGATGAGGGCGGTGCTGCCAAGCTGCAAGAGACTTCTGCCAAGTC